GATATTCATATTTCGCAACACCTCATCAATATTATGCATATATGTGAGACAACCATCGCACATAAAGTGCACACGTTTCGCATGTTTTTTGAACTCTTTGCATTGCATCTATATGCTCACCGAATTTCCTCTCTATAGCTTCTAAAAGGANTCGAAACTGTATTTCATAGTCATATATTTCCTCTGTTGTACAAGTTTCGGAACATAGAACTATATCCGGATCAACAATTTCAATTAGCCTTTCAAGTTCTATTTTATTAGCTATTATACTACTTATGTTAAGATAAACGCATTTCAAGTAACTGTTATGCTTTTCATGTACTGGCTGAACCGTCAACTCCATGCCACGGTTCCTATTAACTGACTGTAATTGTTAATAGCTGGCTCTATTTCTCTTATGCTCTAGTTTCTTCATGTATACAGGACACTGTCGGTTAGTTGTCAAGTGGTTCACGTCGAGCCCTTGATTAAATTTTTTGTTTGCACGAATGCAATTGATACACTTGTTTATTTGCTCCTTTGTGCACTCCATTGTTTTATGATTACCCAAGCACTTCAGGCAGACCTCTTCATCCTTGCACTTCGTAGCTATATGATTGAAGCCCTTACATTTGTAGCAGATTGACACACCCATACCATCTTGGACTCTACATTTCTACCACCCAATATTTATTTTTTCGCTTTTGAGCACTGCCGAGAAGGTATCAACGTCCGTTTCAATGAGCACATTATAGTATTTAGACCTATCTTTCTTGACTTCAATGTGTTTAATAATTTTAAAGTCAGCACTTTTTAAACATTCATTTTGTTTTTTTTTCATTTCTACAAGTTGCTCGCTTTCATATTTAAAGCTTACTCCAAACGCCATTAACTTGGATTTAGCCGTATTCGGCACTCTAATTTCATAGCGGTCATTCATTTTATTTGCAATTGCGGTCTTTATTTTATCGCGCTCAGATTCGTTTTCGCTTTGAATAATGATTGTACCACTTTTCCTACCCTGCACATTGCTTATTTTTAGATTCGATGGATCAACGTTCTTATTCAGGTCCTCTTTTCTTTTCATCGCGTCTTGCTTCTCTTTCGGTTTTATGATCAGGGGTTTCTCTTTATTTATTTTCGGTTCTTTGTTGTTCACTTTTTAAGCGCTCAGCATATGAGGCCTTGCTATGAAGACTTGATTTCAGCTCTTCACTTACTGACTTTTTTATTTCTTCACATATTTTTCTACTTTCACTCTCATTTCGTACCATAGCCTCGCATAGATCTTGGCTATGCTTTTTCACATCTTCAGCTACAGCTTTCATCTTATTGACCTAAGCTATGCTCGTATCGCACGTTTTTTGAACTCTTTGCATTGCATCTATACGCTCACCGAATTTCCTCTCTATAGCTTCTGAAAGGAGCTTTAGCTCTTTAACCTGCATTTTTTGCGACTCTTGAAAGTCGTCTTTACACCCTTCTATGTTTTTACTATTATTCTCTATAGAGATATTCATATTTCGCAACACCTCATCAATATTATGCATATATGTGAGACAACCATCGCACATAAAGTGCACACGTTTCGCATGTTTTTTGAACTCTTTGCATTGCATCTATATGCTCACCGAATTTCCTCTCTATAGCTTCTAAAAGGAGCTTTAGCTCTTTAACCTGCATTTTTTGCGACTCTTTACACCCTTTTATGTTTTTACTATTATTATCTATAGAGATATTCATATTTCGCAACACCTCATCAATATTATGCATAATATGCATCATCAATATTATGCAAAATATGCATAATATTATATGTGAGACAACCATCGCACATAAAGTGCACATAGGCATTGTCCGCAAGGACTTTTTTGCTGAACTCATCGAGATCAGAGCATTTCTTTGCCCAGTGAAACACTTTGCCGCATATACCTTCACAGCGGATTACACTCTCACCGCGTATTAGGCCTTTGCACTTATGGCAGTCACCCATTTTCTTGGATGACACTTCACTGCACTTTTGAGTGTTTTTTATTTATTTGCCGACGTCCCAAGCCTTGTCGCATGGTGTTATCGACACTTGTGTTTATTATGGTTCACAATTCGTTATTTGTGTTTGTATGTATGTGTTGTGTTTACTAGAGGTAAAGCACGAAGCCGCTGCTGCGCGCCTTTTCGCCTATCACTATTCTCTTCACTTTCACCGTTTTCTTCCTAGTCTCAAAGTATACTTTAATTTAATTTGATTTGCTTAAACTAGTGTCACTATCACGTTGCTATTTAGCAAAATTCACTTTTCGATTATATATATGAATCGCTATTTGCATTTGAAATCGCGTTGAGCTAATAAAAACCGCAGAATTTAAAAAACTTCGCGGAGCTAACTATAACACGACCTTTTACACCCACAACAAAACCTATAAGTTTTGTAGTTTGTAAGGATGTGGTGAGTGCGTTTTGTAGTTTTCGTCTTTTGCTCGTTGGTGAGTTATTTCGAATTCCATTGTGTCTGGTGTTTGTTTACTCGAATTTGTTTCAGTAGTGTTATTGAAAGTATTGTGATTTGAGGAGGAAGGGAAATGATAATTGTCGTGGTTCATTGGATATGTTGTTGCTACTGCTGTAGAAAGGTCTTGTAGGTCAGATGGTTGCAGCTCATTGCTAGTTGACTGGATGCTGTGAGTTTTATTTTGTCTGAAGACTTTCTGCTCGACGAAACCGGTTTTGGGGGATTCGCTGAGAAGAGTAGTGTTGTTGGTAGATTGTTTTGGCTTTGGTGCAGATATGTTGTTTGTATGTGCAGAGTTTGTTTCAATTTCATTGTAAGGTTTTAGGGCTGAGACGAAGGTGTGGGGGTTTGGTAGGATGGGATTCCGGGATTTGTATATTTTGTTTGCTTCTTTCATTGTACATTTTGTTTCAGTATTTATTTTTAGCACTTCTTTTGCTTGCAAATATTTTGGGCATATATTTGATGAAGCAGCATGTTCACCTGCACAGTTAGCGCAAAATGATCTGATGCATGCAAGGACCCAAAATAACCGTTATCACATTTTTCAAAAATAAAAAAGTCAAGGACAAAATATTGTTGTAGACAGGATTCTTCAAAGTTCTTGAGGTCTTCAGGACATTCTCTATAAGAATCCCTCGTGCTCTTTATTTTCCTAACTTTTTGAAAAAAGTCCAATATAAACGGTTAAAAGTNCAAGGACCCAAAATAACCGTTATCACATTTTTCAAAAATAAAAAAGTCAAGGACAAAATATTGTTGTAGACAGGATTCTTCAAAGTTCTTGAGGTCTTCAGGACATTCTCTATAAGAATCCCTCGTGCTCTTTATTTTCCTAACTTTTTGAAAAAAGTCCAATATAAACGGTTAAAAGTTGACTTTTATTTTTTCCGTAAAATAATAACGGTTAAAATGTGACTTTTATTTTTTCCGGCAAAAATAAAAGGCTTGGCTAAATACCGAAAGAGCCTTCAGTCTAAATAAAGTAAATTTGGTACCAATCGATTCGTTTCGACTTCTAGATTTCAAAAATATATAATTTGTCGCTATTGGGCCTCTGCGATTCAACAAGCGACACAAAAACTAGCTGAAGTCTGATTCACTTAGGTATATATGCAAAGGTTAACCGTACTCGTACAAACTTTTCATATAACAAAAAGCATTGCTAGAATATGAAATTACCATACGAATAACTGTATACCAATTCAATCGGTGTTGTTGGAATACTCGCACTTTTACTTAGGTACTATTTTCGTGACAAGTCTTTCAGGTGCGATAGTAATATGGTTTTTCCTTTGCTGGCCCGAAGAATTCGTAAGCAAAAATGTACTTAAGCTTTGAAAAAATCCATAAATACCAAAATAAAAAAGTGTACATTTAAGTGTTAAAGAAAATGGCTATTAACTACAAATATAAAGGTGATTCAAAGAAAAAATAACTTGTAAGTGCTAAGGTAAAACTTTTATATTCGGTAAGTTAGAATTATTACCTATTAAAGGTGTTGTTTATTTATACGTGTAAAAATTTAACAAAAGAAATCAAAATAAATTAACAATCAGTTAAAGAAAATCAAAAATTTTACAAACTGAAAACGTGTTCAAAAGTAGTGTATAGAGAGCTCAGATTTAGAGTAGAGAGAGATAGAGAATTTTGTTGACACATACACACATACATGTTTATCCACATCCATATACATACACACAAATGTTTATTTGTTCAAATGCACTAATCGCGTGCTGTGGTGTTGATTCAAACTCAACATTTGAAAGCACACATACCGTTGAAACACAATACCGACGAACGGCGAATTTTCGCACAGTAGTGCGACGACGGCGGAAACTTTCGCCCAAAAATTTCGCTCAGTAAAACACAACTACGGCGACAACGAATTCAGCTGCTTATGACATGGTACAATAAGGGGATGTCAGTGGCAAAAATACATCGATGTTTTTCTTTGATTCGATGCATCAAATTGTACATCGATATTTTTCGATGCATCGAAGACCATACATATGTACATCATAGGATTTTTCAGATAATGTTTCACTACAAAGTATGTTATTACCAAAATTGTAGAAAATTTGAAATAAATTACTGCAACTAAGCTAATTATGTTTCTAAATGGAACTTTTTGGAGCCATTTAAATTAATTTGTCAAAATCACCTCTCTTTTTTGTACAATTGAAAAACAGGTATNCAATTTTTTGGTCAAAGTCACTTATCTTTTTTTGTACAATTAAAAAACTGGACTGACGGTTTAATGTACTAGAAATTTCAAAAAATCCATACATCGACTATTTATACATCGAGTGTAAGATTTTCGATGCATCGATGTTTCTCCGACATCCCTAGGCAGAATCAAACTTTTAATTTTCTTTTATAAAGTGAGAATATAATTGTGCTAAAGAGACATACATTTTTGAAGATGGATCAAAGAACTTTTCGACTTGTGCAAATTTTTAAAATTATGAACATCATGTTCATAATGGTATAGCTGTATATTGAAGCACGCCAACGCTTAAAAAGGAGATGGTGGATCCGGCCAGTAAACCTTGCGAGGAAACGGCTTGGATTTCATGGAGTTAGCTTCGCTCTACTAAAGCTGAGAGAGGAAGAACATTTCTTTAAGGCCACGAGAATGACTGAGCCTAAGTTCAATGTCCTTCTTAATTTACTTAGAGAAAAGTTGCAAAGGTTTTCCAGAAGAGAGCCAATAGACGAAGAGACCCGTTTGGGTATGACGTTGATGTAAGTAGATGCTTACCATATACATAAATATACATATGCACATTTACACACATACCTATATTATAAACCGATAATAAATATATTGCCAGATACTTATCACAAGGATGTAGCCCACAATTTTTGGCATTCTCTTATAAAATGGGAGTCTCAACAGTAAGGAAAACCATTTACGAAACCTGTGATGCGATTTGGAATGAGCTGCATGCAATTTATGTTGCACAACCAAGTTTAACAGAGTGGAAAAACATTGCCAACGGGTTTGTAAAAAAAAATTTTTCCTGAAATGTGGTAATTGTTCTATTTTTTATTTCAAAAGATTTTACATGAAAAGTGGTATGCCCCATTGCCTCGGAGCAGTTGATGGCAAGCATGTCAACATAATTTGCCCGAAGCGCAGTGGCTCCTTATACTACAACTACAAAAAAACTTTCAGTATAGTCCTAATGGCAGCGTGCGATGCTGATTACTCCTATACCTTCGTTGATGTCGGTGCATTGGGAAGTCAAAGTGACGGTGGAGTTTTCGCTCATAGGGCTTTTGGGAATATGATATTGAGAAACAACATCATGCTACCTCCAGATGATAGCCTGCCTGGTAAACGAACAATCTTAATCTTAATCCTTATCTTAATATATATGAATCTAAATCCTAATGCTACTCTTAATATTAATCTTTAATCTAATCTTAATCTTACTCTTTATCCTAATATACTTTTAGTATTAATCTTTAAACTTTTTAATTTTTTTTTAGGTTCAGATAGAAACTTTCCATATTTTTTTGTGGGAGACAACGCGTTCCCTCTGAAACGCAATCTAATGCGCCCATATCCTGGACGCAATTTGCCAACCACGAAACTAAATTTTAATAAGAAGTTATCATCCGCTCGAGTCCATATTGAAAATGCATTTGGAATTCCCGCAAACAGATGGAGAATACTTCATACCACCCCTCAAGTAGCTCCAAACAATGTTGATAAGATAGTATTGGCCACGGTAGTTCTCCACAACTATTTGATGTTAGACAGAAGCAGCGGCTACTTCAGTGAAAATTTAGTGGATCGCGTAGAAGATGGCGTTTTTATTCCAGGAACATGGAGGCAATCAACTACAGACTTGAGACCCATTCGCATTTCCCAGGCTAATCGCTCATCGGCGGAGGCATTTGCATTAAGAGAAGAACTGGCAGAGTATTTATTAAACACATTAACTTATTTTTTATTAACTTCAATCATTTACAGTTAGTCAAATAAAAATTATACAGTGATCTTTTTAGAATATTTATAATGTTTTTAATTTTAAATTTTTTCGTTATCTTCTTATACCTCATTATTTAACGAAAGTCAAATAAATCTAAATTTCAAAGTTTGTGCAAAATGTGAGTATTAAAAGTCAACAAAGTTTCACCAACTTTGAAATTTAGATTTATTTGACTTTCGTTAGATAAAGAGGTATAAAAAAATAATGAAAAACTTTAAAATGAAAAACATTATAAATATTCTAAAAACACTGTAAATGGTTGCACAATTTTAGTCTACCAACTACGAATAACTAACGAAACTTTCACAGCTATTTACATACTTTTGACGAATAAAATATCATATTAAATTACGAAATTTGATGAAATTTTAGCAACCATTCACAACCTTACGACGAATAAAATACAAAAAATACATTATGAAATGACACAAGTTGTCCAAGTTGAAGACAAAAAACATAAAACCACTTAATTAAAAAAAAATAAAATCTATGTATGAATATTGCACCGTTCACTCTAATGTGCATGTTTTAAATTGCTTTCAATTTTGTAGAGATCAAACTTAATTATTTCACTTATTGCTAATGTTGGCTAGCTCATCATAAACCAAAGCAATTAGTTTTGCTTCTATTCGCCTTACATCGCCCTGCGGCAAATCAGCGCCACTTATTTTTTTTGCCAAGCTTTCAAATAATAAAGATGTCGCATCTCGCTCTTGGTCACTTGATATTGCAGCAGATGCGAGCTCTTTCACTGTAACCGCACATTCCTGCATCACTTCCGCAAAAACTTGCGTGACCTCTGCATCTGCTTGCTTCTTTGATGTTTTCCTCGGTAGCGGCTCTATTCTTTGGTGTTCTCCTTCATCTATTGTTGGTGTTGTTGGTGAGCTTTGATTCTCTGTGAGACTTGTTGATGAGGAGCAATTTAACAAAAAGTCAAGCTCCATATCTTCGTGGAGGTCACTTCCAACAGTTCTAAACAAGAATGTGTGAACAAGTAAACAAAAAAATCAAACCTCAGTCCAAAAAGTGAACACTCACGGCCTCGAATCCTTGTAATTGTCTAAAAAACTCAACGTCTGCAAATATTTCCACTTTTTTGTTGGACTCGGTGCGCCGCTGCCGGAGCTAAGTTGCGAAGTGCGCTTTCGCCTTTTGTAGGTGTCGCGAAGTCCTCTCCACCGCGTTTTACATGAATCGCCTACAAATATAGCTTCGATAGTATATTGAATGCAAAACGCTTCCTTTAATTTTTACTTACCCGGTAAACAAACAGATTTGCCGATTTCTTCCCAAATCACTGCCTTTTTAAACACGTTTTTGTATTCATTGCTCGATAAGTCGTACAACCATTCATGTTTTCTAATTTCTTCTATTAATATTTCATTAATATCCATTTTGTTTGCAATAATAACAAGAATTGTAAGAATTTAAGTTCGTTCGCCGCAATGTTTACTTTCTTCCACAAAAACAGCTTGTACACATGTCAGCTGATAGGGTGACCAAACGTAAAAAAGGAAACTTTGAGAACACAAAAGGAATATAATAACAAATAAATGGTTCAACAAGAACAGGAAATGTTAGAAAATAGTTTTTACTAAAATAAAATTTTTACGAACAGCAAGATTATTAATTTTTAACAAAAACTAATAAATTATTTTTCCTTTTCGATTTAAAAACTTGAGAATATTTAGCATTTGGCCACAATGGATCGTATTTTGCCGTTGCCGCCAGCGACGACGATAGAAATATGTCTATCGTTGCGAACAGTCGTCGGACGAAAGTCGTCGTTCGCTTTGGTTGTGTGCGTTCTCATATACGACAGTGTGTTTTAATTTTTACAGCGAACATTCGCAGCGAAAAGTTCGTCGTTCGTCGGCATTGTGTTTCAGGTGTTACATGTCTGGCTGTAGCCGAGTGCGCAAAGATGTTGGCACAATTTGTCAATTTCCAGATTCCCGATGGTCAGAGTTCAAATCCCATTGCTGGCAACATGCAAATTAAATATTTTTTTTATCTTGATTATTCACTTCACGGATGCTTTTTCAGAACGAACGCGTACGCATTTGATTTAAATAATGTGCATTATACGCTACTTTTGAATACGTTTGTCGTAAACTTTAAACGCCTAAAAAATGTATTAAGGGAGTTCGCAAATTATCATCAAAGTCATATTATGATTTTTTGTAGTGCTAAAAAATAGTTGGTTGACGTTTCAAGTTCTCTAAACATTTATTTAAGCTTTTAAAGTTTACGACATACAACAATACGACACTTACGACACCGTTGTGAATCGCTCAAATCATTTGTTCTTTTTTTTTTTTGAAATTGGGAGTAAAAAAGTTTTAATTCCGATCCGCTCGAATTGCAAATTGAAGATGTCAATGCTGATACTGAATTTTTCATATGTCCTATGTGTTTTAAATGATTTTAAATAACCAGTATAGTACGGACTTCTCGAAAACTATTATTAATTCAATTCCCCATTATATTTAATTACATAGAAAACATTCAAAGAAATACTCCACGGATCTTCATTAAGAATTGGCATTTAATATGTTGCTATCCCGGGCATCAAACGTCAGCTAGTTTTGGTCTCGTTTGCTGAGTCAGAACCCGAACATCAACATTATATATTTTTGAAATCTAGAAGTCAAGACGAATCGATTGGTACCAAATTTACTTTATTTGTACCTAAGGTTTTTTTGTTATTTAGCTAAGCCTTTTATTTTTGCCGGAAAAAATAAAAGTCACATTTTAACAGTTATTGTTTGACTGAAAAAATAAAAGTCAAATTATAACAGTAATTTTTTTTCTCATAAAATAAAAGTCACAAAATAACTTTTTTCTCGAAACTTTTATTATAAAAGTCATAACCGGTTGGGTCCCTGGATGCATGGGTCGGGGATGTGGGGTGGTAGGTTGCATGTAGAGCAGGCTGGAAAATGTTTACAGAATTTTTGCGTATGCCCTAATTTTTGGCACATCTTGCATCGCATGGGATTCGGGTAAAACGGGCGCACTTGCGTAGTTATCCAAGCTATATCAATTTTCTCTGGTAGAAAATAGCTGTCGAATGAGATTAGGACAACTCCTGTGGGTTTAGAAATTCCGTTTGTAGTACGTTGAAATTTGTAGATATTCGTAACATTGTAGTTTTTGAGTTCTTCGATCTCCCTTTCCGGGACGTTGTTCAAAAATGGAGCATAAACCGTGCCTTTAACGCTGTTTAGGTTGTCGTGCTATTTGGTCGTGATTTCACAATGGCCAGGGAGAGATCGATCGTCAATGAACTTTTTGGCTGATTGTTGGTTTTTGACGAGAAGTATTAAACCACCATCTGACTGCAGGCTTATTGAATTGATATCCTTACATAAGGCGAGTAATGATTTGTGAATTGCAAATATCGAGTAGTTGGAAAAAGATTTGTTTTCATCAGCTGGTTTTATAACTATAAATTTAGGATCATCCTGTTTAGTCACGGGGAGTTCGGAGAACTCTTCGCACAAATTTGATGTCTTTTTCCGTTTAGAACGGGGACTGGGTGATAATAGAGCATATCTTGTTTAGGTCTGTGACCTAAATATATTGCACCACCCTAATACGCGTTTTGTCACTTGATGTAAGAGCACACAAGCACATATATAAGTTACGGCTAACTTTCCAGCCGCTAACAATAAGCCCCACTGTACGGTAACTTAGCTGAGGGGAAACTTAACGAAAGTTACTGTGCGGTGGGCTACATCCCTTTTCGTTTGTTAGCACTTTTTCACTTCTTAGAAGACAGCAAGGAATCACGTCAGCTATCACACCACGTTCGGTAAGCGAACTCTTGTGTGCCCAATTATTCAAACTCATCGATAATTACAAATAAAACGACCTTTAATTTCATTGCACTAAAACCACTGTGTCTTTAATTTATTCTTGTTTTTCGTTACATTAACTTTACGCTGGTGCGCTCCATCTTTGTGCGACGCCACCTGCGTAAATATTGGTCTTCGAGCCTAAAAAGTAACCATATAATACAGTCCACATAGCATCACATCAACTGCCTCAACCGATCGCCACATTGGTGACAACAGCATCACGTTCGTCTACGTTTACCTGAGTTTTTCGCACCACAACCAACGTGCCACAAGAGCTACATCAAGCGTTTTTCTGCGGTTTGCTACACAAGCAGCGATTGTTTGGTTCATCGCTTAACCGGCTGTTCAAAAAATCAACGTTTTGGTTTGCATCATATTGACCACAAGCAGCACGTTTGCATCACAGCATCACGTTTGCATCACAGCACCACTAGTTTCAGCGACACATTTTTTAACAAACCAGGATATCGCACTACACGGCATATAACAACACATTAAGGTACGTGGTTGAATTTCATTGCACTTGTATGTATACGAATCTTAAAAAAAAACGCGCGTGATTATTTTGTAAAAATAAAAAGGGGAGAAAACTCAGTGCTTAATATTTTTCCGAAAACAAAAAATTGAACATTTTCACGTTTGTTGGTGTATCGGCTAACATTAACGAATTGCGCGAACGTCCATTTTGATTCTTGATACGGTGTTGTTTGTGTAAAAATACCAGTCGCATTTACCGAAGCACAAGATTGATAAAATTTATTCTTTTCTTGTAAAGCACAGAATTTAGTTTTTTCTCATTTTACTGGCTTTCACTTTTATTTGCATTTTATTAATCGCGTAACTTCAAGTATATTTTGCGAAACTCCTTTGGTTTCTTTTCACATTGCACTTGTCTATTATTAGTGGCGCGCTTGTACATATTGCTGATCACTTCACTGGGTTGTTTCCCCCATTTATTTGTTGGTTGCATAAAATCACAGCCGCGCTTGAACAAACACAATTTCTTCATCAGAAATTTTAAATAAACTGCATATTGTGAATATCAATTATTTACACACGTATATCACATATTTGATAAGTTGGGTGGCGAGTGACTTGCACATTTTTTTGCATATACGCACATGCACATACGTAATTACGTATTCGACAGTCTTACTTGGCTGGAAAATAAATAAGTCGTTATTTAAATATACAAGTTATCCTTTGGTGTTCTTATAAGACAGTAGGCTTATTTCGTGCTAAGCGGTTTTAGTGGCAAACTTTTTTTACAAAGCGGCGATTCACACAAACAAATCTTTTGTCTTGCGTCCACTTCAGTTGCCCTTGGTCAAAAATGGATACCTTTATTCGTCAGGCAGATTCAGTAACAGAATTCGAATCTGACTACAACTCTATGCAGCCATCAGAGCACACAAGGCACCCCTTATTTTGCCAAAATAATGAATTAAAGGCTCTGTGGGAAAAGGTAAAGGGGTCTTATGATGTGGCTCTGCGCATCAAAAGAGCTCGAAACCAAAGAACTGACAGCAATTAAAAAGAAGTATAAGAGCACCTATTTCAGGTTTTTGCGGTGCCAAGCAGCAATGGCTGACCTTTCAGAGCAACTCGCAAAGACTAAAAAGGAAAGCGAATACAAGTCAGGTCGCGAGCTTAATATTCATCTCCCTCCTTGTGACACAGACGTTTTTAAAGGAGATTATCTTTCGTGGCCATCGTTTAGGGATATTTTTACGGCCATATACATTCTAAATAAGCGCCTTACCCCAGTTGAGAAGCTGTATCACCTCCGGCAAAAAACTCAGGGGGAGGCCAAGGAAATAGTACAGAGATCCCCATTAACCAACGATGGCTTTGGTGCGGCCTGGAGAAATCTATGTGACAGGTACGAAAATAAACGTATCCTGGTCAATGCTCAATTAAAGGTATTATTTAATTTTAACGCAGTTGAGACTGATTGCGGTAGCTCCATCAAGAAACTGCAACGCAACATAAATAATTGCATCTCGTCGCTTCAGTGTCATCAGATTGATGTTTCAAATTGGGATACAATATTCACATATTTGTGTTCGACAAAACTGCCAGAAACGACACTGGCACTATGGGAGCAAACCATAGAAAATAAAACTGAGATTTCCAAATGGGTAGATATGGATAAATTCCTATCCAATCGGTTTCAAACACTGGAAACCGTGACAGGTCTTAGGGGAGATATAGTTTCGAAACCTAAACCACCAAGCTCTCGGAATTCTGCAGAGACGCCTGCAAAAAAGCTTGGCGCCTTTCAAGCCAGTGTAGCAAAGGCAACATGTAAAATGTGCAACAGCAATGTACACAAGCTATCAAAGTGCGACAGATTTTTGCGTCTAAAGCCGACGGAGCGAGTAGATTACGTGAAGAGCATTCGCAGTTGCTTGAATTGTTTATCTGCTGGGCACACAGTCTCAAGATGTACCAGCTCATTTAACTGCAGCACTTGTCATTCGAGACATTAGAAGTTGCTCCATATGCCAATTCAGCCAAAAGCAACAACT